TGTGATAAAAATGATAAATGAGGTTTATCTATTGTCAATACATTGGTCACTTTCATTTACACCTGAAAAAACAGTCAAAAAACATAATTTTTGTAACTGGNCGTCAGCCGACATCTGTTTAAATTGTAATAAAATATGATTTTAAGAAATCTAAAAACTGAGGAACTGAGCGCAGTTTTAAATTACTTACTCAAAACGAAAAATCGCTTCATTTTTATAGTTTTTGAGTTTTGGTGAAAAATATCAAGCGCTATTTCTCTAGAACTACTCCTTTAATTTCTACAGTTTTTTTTAAAGGAATTGTGTCGTTTATTAATTAATACTATACCATCAAAAGCTTGTTCTCTACAAAAAATGTCAAGAAAATGCAAATTGAAAGTTTAACCTAAAATACATGATGACGGGGATTGAGGACACGTAATGAAAATTATCTCAGTAGATGAGTTGTTAAAAACTTGAATGTCGTTACAGCTCCACAACAATATCCTTCAAAGCATAAAAAAGTTTATTACTCAATTTGTCTGTAATTAGAAACTCCCGCTTGGTCCACATTGAACAGTTGACTTGTTATTTGTGACTGCGACATCTCCTAGCGCTGTTGCTACTGCTCAATCCATTATAATCCTCCTAGAGCCGTTGCTGCTACTCAATCACACACAGCAACGATACCTCTCAACCTCAAAAACACCTTACTTTTTTTGTAAGGGTAGTTGCTTTGACACAAACATAGTTTCACAATTGTCTATAATAGTTATACAAAAAGCTGAAAGATGTTGTCTGCGCCACAGCAACAATTTTAGGAAACCGAACAATTATGGGAAAGAACAGTGCAACGGTTATTCAAATGTAAAATATTATCCGTTTGTTGCCAGTTTAGATAGAGAAATACTAGCGATTTTAGAGATACGTAAGACAAATGTATAAGTAATTCAATACATAAGTCTATATTTGATCGACCAAACATTTTTTTATCGAAATAATATTTACTATAAACCCCTGTGCGCCAAAAAGTGAATCAAATTCGTAAAGAAATGAAATATTAAACTAAATATCAACCTATTGGCCAATTCTGCAAAAATTTTGTATTTTCCATTTAAATTAACATTCTTTAAAATAATAAATAAACTTTTATACTTTACAAATCAGAATTGTTTGGCTATTATTAAATAAATTTAGAAAAATAAATAATAATTAAGAATTTTTTCCTTTGTGAAATACTCTTCTGATAAAAGAATTCTACAACTGAATGCAAAATTTTTCGATTCAACTAAACATTTTATGAAATATTTCAAAATAATCAGGAAAGTGAAAGTGGGTTAAAACTTCCAAGCATTGTTTCACTTGTCTGAACTGGTGGAACCATATTTTCCATATACCGGCTACTTTGAGGGTCAAGTATCCGAATAAGTCAAAAAAGGGGAATTTATTCAGGGAAAGTAAGTTATTGTATCAAATTTTTCGTAATTTGAAATATCGTTTAGTCTAATAAATTAGCATATTTAAGGTCCTAAAAGCATTAAGATTGAGTTTTACAACCTGAAAACTCGATCATTAAATCAAAAGTCATTCAGGACTCTTTTACACACTCTACTTTTCATTTTCTTTTCAACTAGTTTCCTTTTTCTTAGGAATATTTGGAATTTTGTGGTTTTTTATTTGGGTTGTTCTTGCCTACGATAAGCCTGAATCTCAACCAAATATAAGCGACGACGAATTAAACTACATCAAAAGAAATCGAAAACATATGTTTTACAGCGTAAGTGTTATTATGTTTAAAATGTTCAAAATATTTAAGGGCGCTCTAATCACAATTGAACAGCAGAAATAATGAAAAAGCTCGTTTTTATTCAAGTATTTAAAAAAGTTTCAACTAAACAACACAGGCTCATAGTTTTCGGAGTTCTATGTAGAAATAATAATAATAAAAGTATAAACTTTAATACGGTAGAATCTTTTAGTAAAAACATTATGTATTTTTACTCTATTTCGTTACTAGTATTTTTTTTATAAATCAATGTTAGAAGACGGTTTATACAATATTTAAAAACCATACTATTTTTGCAATAATTCATAGTTTTTTGAATTGTTATTTCACTATATACGATGCATAAAATTCAAATTTTTCTATATATGTCCATGCACTTAAGGGGGAACTACACAGTAATACCAAATATGCTGAAATTTAAGGGTAACTAGCAAGTGGTTACATCTAATATGCTGAAATTCAAGGGTAACGAGCAAGGAGTAATACCTAATATAATGAAATTCAAGGGTAACGAATGAGGGGTAACACCTAATATGCTAAAATTCAATGGTAACGAGTAAAAGATAACACCTACTATGTTTAAATTCAGTGGTCATATTTGTTATGAGCATATTCTTTGGTTACTGGGTCTACGTTTATTTCCAATTGTTCAAAAACTGTCGATAACACTTTGCAACCTCCATTTAAAATTATCCCTTCATTACAGCTAAATAATTTCCACTATTTTCCTTCAAATTACCATTAGATCTTTTCTTTACACAATTTAGACGAATTATTCTTAATGAAATAATTACAATAGTAGTATTTTACTAAAATATTTTGATACGAGTGAGAAAATCCATTCAGGAACCAAACGCACGAGTTCACTTCTTTAAAAATTTCAGAGTGCATCCATTGTCGCCCACTCCTCTTGACAAATTATGACGCAATTTTTAGACATTTACGAAAATTAAATTTGGTACAATAAGCTTAAAAAAATAAACTAACGAAAAATCGAAAAATGCACTAATTTTTTTTTTTAAATTTCTGAAAGTAATACAGTTTTGTTCCCCCTTAACTCACACTCGTGTCTATATACATTTATATGAGTGTGTGCGCGTATTGATGCATTCAATTGCGTTGAAGCATACATATTTTCTCAAATCTGCTACAACTTAGCAGTTTATAAACCAAAAAAACACTATTTAGATTTCGTAAGATCTTGTATCAAGACTAGAAAGGTTTAAGTCATTTTTAGGTAATAAATCTTACTTTTTCTCTCTGTTTACAGTTTTACTCCAAATTATACGCAAGTACTGTTTCCAAATAGGTAATTTACAACTTTCAAAACTTCCTGATAGATAACGAAGTAATCTAATGCCTAAACGATTATTTATGAACTAAAATGTTTTTAGGATCCTAAAATTTGAAATTTCGATTTAATAATGGATTGCACCACGACTCTTAATTCGTTAAAGTTAATCTAAGCTTTAACTCCCCCCCCCACACACACAAAAAACATAAAAAGATTGGTATTTACATAATTACTATTTTATTAAATATCTGTGATTACCATATATTATTTACTTCCGTAACATCTAGTTACTTCTAATTTCACTTCACTGGTAGAATAGAGCTGGGAGCGTGCCTCCGCCTAGCACGGCCTTGTAGATTCATCATGCCCATAATAGTCTGTGAGATAAGTAAATTGTCTAAAAATATAACTTAAAAATTTGATTTAGGAGAAGAGTTGACATCCACCACAAGTTATAACTGTTGACTGTTCAAGTTATAATCATAGATAATTTACATCTCTAAAAAGAGAGGAAAATGTGACATGAGATTATCTGGTTTTTCAGAACTATAATTTTGAAAATCAGAGTTTTTTTTTCTGTAAGCCTTTACCATAATGAACAGAAAAATTACTAAATAATTCTTTTCTCTTTTCGGGGTAGCAACCTCATCAATATCAATGCATGGACCCAATACTACTAACACTATTTTCTTATTACAGCATGACATTATTCCATGGAAATTAATAACGACTTCGTGGCATGTATGGGCGTTAGTAATTGCTCATATTGGAGAAAACTGGTCCCTTCGTACACTACTCACCATGATGCCTACATATTTAAATAATGTTTTGCATTTTGATTCAAAAGAAGTAAGCTTTCAAATTTTAAAACTATATTATTATCGTAAAAAAATTGTCCTTTTATTTTATTGATAACTGGTTCTACTGGTATTAAGGTCATTGGTCCAGCTTCAATAGGTACAAAAATGTACTAATGTGGGTAACAAATATACTAATATTGGTAGAATATATTATGTTAGTATAGTTGACCCTTATTAAAACTGCATCATTGTTTGTAAGCTTTAATACAGATACTAGGAAAATGCATTTTTTTTGCATAGGAAAGGTTCTGGGTATGAATCGAGAGCAAGGCATGGACGATCTGTACTATCTGTTCTTACTGTGAGAGAAACGTTGGCCCACCTAATAGGGTGCCCCAAGTAGAGTGGCAAACAAATCTGCCCTAATACGCAAAAACTGTCACAATGGCAACCCAGGTGGGCATTGGAGAAAAAAAATATGATTTCTCTAAAAGAATAAATACCGGAGAAAAATGTAGATAGTGGTAAATTTTGACTAATGTAAATCATCAGTAAGCGTTAGTATCATGTCAAGTAATATTGAAAGCAGTTAATATTTATTCAGATGTGATGAACTATTAGAAGATTAAGAAGGAGAAACTTTAACGGCAGGTAGGAGACACATAATAAGGATTCAGAATAGGATACCTGCAAGTGATGTAGTGTGTTTGCCTTGATTCTGACAGGTTATTGATACGTGACATTTGTTTGAGTTAGCAACCATTCTTTTCATTCCATTCTGAGTAATCAAAGCCTATCAAGTATCAATTCTTTTAAGTGACACATTGTATGTTTTTTCACAAAGATTCTTTCACGAAAATTTAAATTCTTACGCCATTTATTTCTTACTTAACAGAAAGACAGATGCGAAGTCAGGTAAAACCTTGGGTAGAACATAAACAAACTAAATGCATCGAAGTTGCCAGATACACGAAACAAAAATACACCACGGTTACAAAAAAATACACAAACGAATAATAAATCTAAGTTAAGTAAAGGACAAAGAGGAAGAAAAATGTTATTCAAACAAATTCAATGTGCGATTAGGCGTTGTATTTAATTAACATTTAGCTTCTGTAGAGAAACGTAGCTTGAATTTAACATGACATCTTTTTATAAGCAAGCAGCTAACGCTGAGGTCATAGGTCACGTGTTTATGTATCAGTGATCGTCTTTTCGAGTTGCAAGTACCCAATTGCACATCATCTTACAGCCGGAAATGACAAAAATACTATGACAGGAACAAGAGACCCAAGACTGAGATCTGAAACGTTTATTGGTAAAAGATAGTACATGTACTGCAGTATATGTTTGGTAGCATATGTGAAAATGACACAAGGGATGTTCAACATTTTCACCATTACTAGCTATGCATGAGTTACACTTAATGGATTGGCGTCCAACATATGTCACTTTGGGTAACTTTCACTATAGAGTCTTTCTGCTGCTCGGGCATTTTCCTCTGTCAATCTGTATATCCTGTGCTTCCCTGTGAGCTGGATGCAAAAAATAAATAAATAAATAAATACAAAAATACATATAAAAAAACGTTGCACGCTGCTTTGCGGGCGATGTCAGCTCAAATTGCTGAGGCAATGCAATCTCTTTCCATTGCTCTTGTGAACAACAACACCTAGCGGCGAATGATGAACTTTCCGACCATAGGTTACTATGCAAATCTGAATCCTTGTGATGTTCCCTACCACCCTTTAAAGTTCGTCTCAGTACTCCTGTATGCATACTATACATATTTTATCATTTTAGATTGCATATATATCCGGATCTCAGTACTTGGTTGTATCTGTATTTGCTCCACCCATCAGTTTCGCAGCGGATTCTTTGAGGTCTAGTAAAGATTTTCATATCACCTCAATTAGGAAGATGATGAATAGTATTGGTAAGAAATTTAAATTAACCATATTTTTAGTAAATTTCACAGAACTTTGTAAACATCTGTTGGAAAAGAAGAACAATGTAAATAACCGCTTATTACGTGATTACTTGATTAGATTAAAATAAAAGCCCTAAATTTGTAAAAAATAATAATAATTGCTGTTTAATTGTTTTCAGGTTTTTTTGGATCAGGTTTGTGTGCTATAGCCATAGCGATAGTTGGTTGTAAACGCATGATGGCAGTGTTATTCGTGTTGTTATGGTTTGCTTTAAATTCTTGTGTGTACTCTGGATTTATGGTGAATCACATTGACTTAAGTCCACAGTTTGCTGGTAAGTCTGATCGTCTTATAGCTCATCAGATTTGTTATTTAGTATATGGTGCTCCACTATAATGATTTCCTGGACGATGCAATTATCCAATTGCCCCAAACCTAATTTTGCACACATGAAACAGTTTTGTATAGATTTCACATCGGTTTAAAGTTATGGTACGCCTTCGGAAAACAAGTTAGAAATGCAATAGATTATAATATTAATTTTTCCTCATTTGCTTCGGGAGTTTTTTTACTTATTGATAGGTCAATGACATTGCTCTAATTGCAATATCTATCACGTAAATTTGAAAACTAAGAATCGCTCCATTTTTTTAAATATTCCTGAAATACATATAAAGTGCATACTTATACTTTTTTATGTGACTATTTTGCTTTAAAATTTTCCTTACGTCTCTTAACAGGACACCGTATTGAATACCTTCATAGTAAACTCGCCTCCAACTAAAATAGCGTAATATGAAATTTAAAATGTAGAAAAAATGAATTCACGTCCAAGATTGAACTATGAGCTTTCAAGCGTTGATATTATTTCAATATCTAGTTGTGTATCTGTTTAATGTGTGCTCTAATTATCGATAATCTTTATTTCAACTATAATTACATTACAATATTAATTACACTACACAATTATAATTTAAAAAAATTGTAGTATTTAGACAAGCATAAACGTCTTAAAAAAGCGTAGAAGGCACTTGAACGCGCTTCGCTAGTGTAAATCACAGATACGAAAGGTTGTCCATCTTTCTACGCATTTAGGGAAAATTTCTTCTAGTGGTAAGTTACGTTTACATGGTGATTTTTTCTTTGTTCGGTAAATTAAATTAAAAATTATTTTCCACAGTACTATCAGTTAACAATTCAAAAGTTCACACAAAACGCCACTTTGTTCTAACTCTCACGCTATAAAGTTGTTCAAATGTTGAAAATTCACAAAAAATTATTTATCTTTAATTATCAACCACTCCTTAAATTATTTTCATAAAAGGTAATAGTTAACAACCCTGTCAAATAATTGCAGTCTACCTCCAATGGAACTGTGCATTTTTGACCATTAAAGAAGCGTGAATGAACTACATTGTTCACATAATTTAGTGTAAAATCGCCTTATCGGAAATTCTCGCTTCCTGTAAACTTCACCAAAAGTACTTCTTTGGAAGTTTTTAGTTTATAATCTCGTTAAACAACCGATCCAATTTTGGGCATACGACCTCTAATGTTCAACTCTGTAGTCTTGTAATTTTCAGCCCAATCCAGAAGACAAGGGAACTTCAGGAAGTAGTATTAGGAGAAATTTGCCATCGCGGAGGATTTTTCAATGGAACTAATCCGCCTTTGCGTTACATGGAGAGAAAAACCATGAACACCTCCCATGTTACCCTGTCAGCAAGGGAACTCTAAGACATTGATCTACCACTGATGATATTTCTTTTACGTCAGCACCGTCTTCAGAGCGAACTGGGTGCGGAATTTGTATCGATCAGTCATAACTGGGATAGAAAGGGGACCATCACTGGGATTGGAGGGCGAACGCTCTATCTCCTGAGCCACCACGACTTCTTTAGAAGCTTTTAACACTTTCAGTTCATTTTTCAAAAGGAAGGTGCTATGCTAGATCTATAAGTCTCCGTCACCCCAGCAGAAATATTAAAAAATCTCGCCAAATTCACGCCGCGAAGAAAGATATAAGCGCCTTTGAATTTCCACCAACCTGTGTTCTTATGAACCGAGTATAGAGACACTTAATTGATGAAGTGTGGATCGCGCTGTCAAGCAAATGTCCGGCTAAAAGATTGCTTTATTACAATTTCTTGAAGAGGAAAAGAATCACATAACAAATGCATCGAACTCTGAAACAGCTTTCATCGTAAGGGACTCCAAGGAGATCGAGGAGCTTCCTGTCAATAAAAGGAACAAAATACGAAGAAAAAATACTAGACAATGTGGAAGTAGTAATTGAATTGCCTTCCGAATCAAAGACAGATAAGATTGGCAATTCTTCTTCAGATCATCTCCTTTCAGTGCAGACTATGAATAATTTTGTTGGTTTCGCCTAACCTATTTTCTGTTAAATCTTCCATAGATGAGAACTTTAGTAAAGTTCCAGAAACATCTTTTCAGGTACCACCTGCCATTGTTTGAAATTTCAAAGTTCTGATCCAAAGAGTAGCTGCTGAAACGACTAAGAAAGATATTTTACTTGAATTCATGAAAGTGGCTACAGGAATTCAGCAGTTAGAACAGTTCTCTAAAAGAGAGGGTGTGACTTACCAACCCCTACCACCCAACTCCTCATCCTACCGCAATGAACCAATTACAAGAAGCTATACGTTTTCAAATTCAATAAGCAGTAACCACTCTAAGTAGTTTGATTTATTGATGTAACATACATTTGCTGGTTTGTGTGATCTATTCAGAATCATAAGCCTTTGTTAAGTAGAAGGACAGATAGAACAATACAGAGGACAGTACGAAGATACATACAATGTAACAGCGGGATTCGAACCTGCTACCTCCACGCTTCGCACATCGTTGGCGGGAAATACCACTCGACCAGTAAAGACCCCACTCAAAGTTGAATTGGTCAGAAAGTAAATTGTAGGTCTACTGGAAAATTCGGTTCACGAGAGAACACGTCCCCAATATCCAAGGATGCAAAATGTGGCCTTATTAAAAAATGCGTTAAGGTATATTTACCCTTAGGTATATATCAGATGTACAATTGGCAAAAAAATATATCTTCCTCAATAACTTTCACTCTAATTATCGGATTTTCACGTACTAAGAGTCAATATTAATGATTCCTGAGGATAACCTCAAATATGCAAATTGTTCAGAGCTAACTATTAATTAAGTTACGAAATCGGACACAAAAACTTACTTTTTCTGCATAAACATATTTGGCATAAACATGTTTATAAACATAAACGTATACATATACAAACTTTTAACATAATTGGATTCTTAACCTTCAAAATATAGGGGGTAGCCGCAATCTAGGAAATATGGTCCCCATAGTTTGATCAAGAGAGCGATCCAAAGTTGGGACCCCTTAATGTTCATTTCATTTTTTGTGTTTTTAATCATATTTTTAAAACTAATTAATCAACTTTACAAAAAAGCTGTGTACCCACTTATAAAACCCATTTACCCAAAAATAATTTCATGCAAAAGACAATTTTGAATAAATATACACAGTCCAGTCACATTAATGTGACCACTACCTACTTTCGACATCAAAGTGAAATAACTAATCACAGAAGGCAGGTGGCAGCATATTACAGTGGATTGTATATGTAGGATGTCCTGAGGCATCTAAAAGCATTTCAATCGTTGGCGTAATGCAGAAACGTAGCGATTTATCCGACGTCCAAAAGGGCATGATTATTGACTTTCGGGCCAAGGGTGAAAGCATTTCGGAAACGGCTGATTTTCTGAACTGTTCGCGTGCCGCCGTGGTAAAAGTATACCTAGCATGATAAAATGGCACTATACAAAACAAGCGACGTGGCACATGTGGTGCACCACGGGCCATAGATGACAGAGGCGAATGAAGGCTACGGAGATGCGTTCAGGCGAATAGACGTGCAACTGTTGAGCAACTGACCACCCAGAGGAATCAAAGGGCTACCAAGAGTGTATCCTTAACCACTGTTCAGCGAACGTTGTAGCGCATGGGCCTCCGTAGCAGACGCCTGGTTAATGCACCCATGCTGACTGCTGTTCATCGGCGACGAAGGCTGGAATTAGCACGCCAGTACCGCAACTGGACGCCNCGCATTAGAGGTTATCTCGATTTTAAGCGGGGAAATGTTTTTACTCTTACTCCCACGCGCTGAAATGAACTCTGCGTCCGAGGAGGTGGAGCCAAGTGCCAACTCCTGGTGAACGAACTATATATTTACCCTTAGGTATATATCAGATGTACAATTGGCAAAAAAAATATATCTTCCTCAATAACTTTCGCTCTAATGATCGGATTTTCACGTACTAAGAGTTAATATTAATGATTCCTGAGGATAACCTCAAATATGCAAATTATTAAGAGCTAACTATTAATTAATTTACGAAATCTGACACAAAAACTTACTTTTTCTGCATAAACATATATTTCTTTTAACATAATTGGATTCTTAACCTTCAAAATATAGGGGGTAGCCTCAATCTGGGAAATATGGTCCCCATAGTTTGATCAAGAAAGCGATCCAAAGTTGGGACCCCTTAATGTTAATTTCATTTTTTGTGTTTTTAATCATATTTTTAAAACTAATTAATCAACTTTACAGAAAAGCTGTGTACCCACTTATAAAACCCATTTACCCAAAAATAATTTCATGCAAAAGACAATTTTGAATAAATATATATTATTTTTATTATTTAATTTAATTTAATTCTAAATTTTACTCTAATGATTTATTTAATTACAGGTACCATTTTTGGCATTACAAATACATTTGCAACAATTGCTGGATCTGCCGCTTCTGCAGCAGCAAACGCTATCCTGAGCAAAGGAGTAAGAATTATATTTATTGCTTTTTTTTATTAATTGCGAGACTGGAATCTCGCTTTTGAGGTTAAGACTATTTTTCGACTAGTTAAAGCACTAAAATCTCTACTAATATTCCCCGCCGGACAACAATGATCTTTAATCGCTTTTTAACCATTATGAGCAGAATTTAATTCCGTAACCCCTAAAGGAATTGATCGTCAATCGGAATTTTATGAAAATACAATTCAATTATTAATATGAAAATACGCATTCTTTATTAGCAGCAATATTAGCACAACTCATAATTCAACTTGAAGGTAATCTTCGTTTAAGCAAATTAAAGCATTTCTTATGCGTTTTTCTTAACAATGAAAACTTTAAACCCACTTATCTCAAAACATGGTTTTTTGAGTTGTGCCGCTACTGCAGCCCATGAGCAATATATTATAAAGATCAGCACTAAAAAAGACTGTGAATGTGTTAACGATGAATAATTTGAATTGTAAATTATAGTAGTAGTTACGATTGATTTATTAACGAGGATATAAATAAATGAAAATGAATTTTTTTTCTTTTTCAGCAAACATTAGCGAACTGGGATCTCCTATTTTTTATCGCAGCCATTATACAACTCTTCACTGGTTTCATATACGTCATATTTGCCTCAGCAGAACAACAAATATGGACTGAAATGGAAATTGTTGAAACAGAACTAAGAGAACAATCTGACACCAGAGATATTATTCAAAAAGGCGGAGGACTTTAGCGAATGGAAAAACCACGAAAATTAGCATGATAATTGCTTTATACACTCATGAATATGTCGTCCACACAATATTAATTATCAAATAATTTTTCATGCTAGTTCAATCATGTTGACTTCAAAATCCTGTTTTCTTCAATTTGTACATTTTGAGCCATGAAAGCATTAAAAATACAATTGTAAATAAAGTTTAAAATTTCTTTAAAAAAGCTCTTATGTTTTTTTCGATTTTGATAGTGTCATTCAATATCTAAGCTGAAAGGTAATAAAATATCTAGAAAATATTATATTATGTTTCATTCATTAAATGGAGTTCTTAAAACCATTATTAATGAAAATGTTAAGAATTGTTAAGAATGTTAACAATTCTTAACATTTTTATGTAACTGAGTTCTCTTGTAAATACAACTTTTGATCTAATGATAAGAACTTCACTTGCTAGGACTCAATGTTAAAGGTTCCAAAGTGTGGTCTCAAATATGTTAATTAATTAGTTTCAGGTGATAACTCAAGTTACGTTATGAGACACAAAAACGTACTTTCTCTGAATAAACATACCTTTGTTTCGACGGATTCGGATTTCTGTCCCCCAAAATATAGGGGGTAGTTGTAATCTGGGAAATATGGTTTCTACAGTTTGATCAGGAGAGTGATTCAAAAATTATACCCTTTAACGTTAATTTTACTTTTTACGTATTTCTTCACATTTCGAAAAAATTTTTAGGCAAATTAACGATTATAAAATTCATTTAGCTAAAGGTAATTCCATGAAAAAAAACAGCTTTTAGAGAGTATTTACTATTTTTCACATTAGTTTATTTTGTAATAGTCGAAAGAAGTTTGAACTGTAAGGTATACAATTTTTTTACTTCATTGATGAAATTTTAAATTTCAAAACAGAAAAATTGCGGAGAACCAGTCGTATTTATTAAATTCAATGTGAAATTGAATTTAATAAATACGACTATTACAACTTCGATTTCTCAGAAACTATTTGGCCGATTTTGCTCATAATTTGGATTTTGCCATTTAAAATTTCATTCTTTAAAATGATATTTAAATTCGCATACTTTAAAATTCTAGCTGAAAGGTTTTATAAAATATTATATTATGTTTAATCCATTAAATGGAGTTCTTAAAATAATATTAATGTGCTAAGAGTTGTTAACAATGTGACCTCTTGTAAAGAAAAATGTTATGCGAAAAAGAACAAAGCTTCTTAGTACGCTATTTATAAGAACTGAAGTTTTTTTAAGCTACTGCACACATAAATGCTGTCTATATGATTATCTTCTAATATTGAAAATTTTATCAGTTACTGGAGAAATAAATAAAATTTATGTAAAGATTCAGTTATATTTATATTTTTATTAGTTACTGAACGAATAAATGCTATCTATGTAAAGATTCTATATTATTTGAAATTACATTAATCACTGCACCAACAAAAGCAAACTATGCAAATATTTCATAATATTTTAAATTTTATTGGTTGCTGCTCAAATTTATTTTTAACCATTTAAAGACTCCATGATAGTTGCATTTTTTTACGATACAGCGCAAACAAATGATATCTATATAAATATATCTTTATATTTTAAATTTTATTAGTTACTGCCCACAAAAATATTAACTACATAAATCTTTTCAAATACTTGAGATTTCATCAGTCACAAATATTGCCTACGTAAATATTTTCAGATATTTGAAATTTATCCGTTATAGCACTCATAAATGTCAAGTAAATATGTTCTTACATTTTTTTCTACTTAGTCTAGCACAAATGTCATCCTTGTAAATATTTTCAAACATTTTAAATTTTGCCAGTTACAACACAAATAATATAACTCTATCCATGTAACTCTATCCATGTAACTCTATCCATGTATAACTCTATCCATGTATCCGGAAAGTTCGTACATGGTACCCGATTTTCAATCGGTGAACCCCCCTATAGGTCAGCTAAAAATATTCAAATAGTAGCAAAAATTGGTATTATAAAATATATTTCTTGTTCTTAACCCTTTGTACTCGAGAGGTGACTGTCAGTCACCACTGTCACATGTAAATTACCCACCACTCTAATTGTGAAATTTTTTTTCATCTCAATGTTTAGTTACCACTTAATTCAGTGATTCTCGGATTTTATAAGGTAAGATTGCAAAAATTCGTTCAAAATGTTAGTGCTTGTGTCCATCCATTTTTTTTAACAGTTGAAAGGACTTCGAGTGCAACGGGTTAAAAATGCCGCATTAAATTTTCTTGATAACCACAATAATATGGAAACTCTTTGTAAATGAAAAAATCTGATACGTGATCGATCGAAAAATCTGATACGTTATATAAAAATCGAAAAATCTGATACGTTATATAAATTGAAGAGGTTGCAAAATCAGGTAAACTTTAAACTTCCTTGATGAGTAGTTCCCTTCCACTTGACTATTTTTGGTGGATTTTTGGGAGCTCCACTTATCGAAAAGAGGCTAGAATTTTCCGGACGACCCAATAATTAGGTATAGCTATTTCCTACTATATTAACACATTATAAACGGATCCCGTGAAAATACGAATTTGAAGTTTCTGCGAACCATACAAGGTTTAAAAAGTGGTAGCAAAACTTGTTAACGATCTGTTTCTCAAAGAAGTTATCTATTCGTTATTACCACTAACATAAATGGTTCACTGTATATACAGGGATGCTCCACTTTCTGCGAAAGTTTTAATGGATTGGCATCGAATTAAATAGTAAAACTTGTCAAGTATGGATAATTACACCCCTATTCATTAAAAGAGACTGCACTAGATAACTGAAAAAGTTGCATTTCATATGATACTTCGAATTTTTGATATCTAGTGGTGAAAAAATAACATAAAATGAAAAAGACTAAACTTTTAAAAAAATCAAATTTTGTTACCACTAGAAAATACTTTGTTACCTAGTGGATCATGTTGTGATTCCTGGTTTAATAAATTCAATTTAACTAGGTTTTTATCCACCACTATTTCTAAACAGTTCGTAGGTTTATATAATTCACCACTTTTTCTCACATGTGTAATGCTAAACCTTTTAAAAACCAGCAAAATCTGTCTTATATTTGTACATCACCTCTAATTTAAGTTGGAAACAACACATAAATAAAATTATTGAAAAAGCGAATGGCGCCTATTGGGCCCTCAACTCCATATTAAACTCGAAGTCATCTTTAGACTTAAAATGCAAGCGCACTGTCTATCTAATGGCAACTTGGCCAATTCTAGCTTATGCCTGCCCCGCCATTAACACTCTAAGTGATCACTTAAAAAATAAACTCTCTATGGCAGAAGGGAAGATTATAAGAAGACTCGTCGGTGCCCCTAAATGCATTAGCAATAATAGTATAAAAAGGGATCTTAAAATTGATGACATCAACGTCTATATAAAAAATTTAAACCAAAATTTCTACGATGAAGCAAAAACTTGTACCACCAGCAATTTTAACTCACTCCTAGATATTGAATTAATTGACGACAACACTAAATTTAGCCCAATCACTGCCTTTTTCCTTAGGGATATGACGTAGCCCTAACACACGAAATACACTCTCGATTTTTGGTGCTAAGCACCACCTCTTCCCCCCATCTCCATTCCACCTCACTACTCCTCATCATCGAATTACTACTACAGATGAATCGGTTAATGCCGCTTCGCGGCAGCGCACCGAGATTTATATGATTTCTACCATTCTACCTACCATTCTTATATTTGTAACTTAGTTTGTAGTTATTTACCGTTGTGGCCTGACGGGCAAGACAAGTAAAATTTAGTTTTGCTCTTTCCAGTGCACAAATGTTTCAGTGGAAAAGTTTGTCAGACAAGATTATTGCAAAGATGTCAAATTGCTTGAAACAGCGATAAAATAATTTCAAGTGGTAGTTTTCTATTGTATGTTTCTTGGTTTAGTGAATTCGATTTACAGGGTTCCCAACTTTCTACGCTTTTCGTAAAATTTTGTTCTAGAGGTAGCTAAGTTTTTGCTTTAATGTATAAGCTCAAATTTATAATTTATAATTCATTTAAGCTTATTTTTCACACCAATTATATTTTCCACACAAAATTACCAAAAATATTGAAAGTTTTGGCTTTTAAATGTTTACCACTCTGTATAGAAGTTTGCAAATAACGTAGTAGTAAGCAGGTCTGAATGATTTATTATGTTTTTACTCCCCATAACTTCCAAATAATTTAAAAACTTATTGAAACGTCACTTTGTTACAGTTCAGTCGTATTGATCCTTCTCAATACTTAGAAAATTAAACGAAAATCTGCTAATTTTTGTTCGTAGTTTCTACCGTTTTTTCAAATCATCTATTCTATACCTTCTGCAACAGCAAGTCATAAATTCCTGGAAAACATACAGACATTAACTCTATGGCATTCATAAATAAATAGTGGTTACAAACAAACGGTGAACCTTCAAAAACATGGCGTTTTATATTTTGAATGGCTTGCAATATTTTTGAAAAATTGTTGCCAGACTGGCAACAGCTTTTTATGTTTATTAAAGGGCAATATGTTTAATTTTGTTTATATTTAAAAATTTCTCTTCAATAATATCAGATCACATTTATTTGTTATAATTGTTTATATCTAATGATTACCGAAATCCTTACAAGTTCAATTTATTGAACCAAACACAAAATGGTGAAACAGGAAATCTGCTACCACATTAAATATTCAAGAAAAATTTCTCTTCAAAATCGGGAGAATTTGACAGATAAGTCAGTTTAAATTCCTTTGTCATTCAATTTTGATCTCGATTCCGAAAACAAACTCCTAGTGCAATTCCTGCCATAGTCCTGGATGCCTCTTTGCAATACTCTTCTCTAATTAGTGCTATCTCTTCTTCAACATTGCAAAGGCTTTAAAGCCGACTATAGATGATTGAATATGTATGAGTAATAATAAATAAATAGACACGTACGGTGACTACAATTCTTTTGGTTCCTCTAAAACAAAAAATTTGGTACTAATATTTTTGCCCTGCAAAGTGTTAATGG